GCACATTCTTTCTAATCGATCGTTATAATTACCTTAATGATGTTTTTAGGGAAATAAACTGAAAAACGCTTTCTTCATAGAAATCAAGATTACCTTATTCGTTTAAATGCATAAATTCTTAATTTTTTCGGCGTAAAATGTTGGGTTAAGATATTCATTACGCTATTCATAAGATACATGAAAAAATTACTCAGTTCTGATTGGTTAAGATAGATGCAGTTTTTAGGTAATTCAATGCAGAAGAGGGGTAATTCAGTGCAAAGACGTAACAAACCAGACTGAACAACTCCTTGAACTGTTTAGCCGGGCTTTGAACTTTTTACGCCTTAAAGATGTGAAAATATCATTGTATATTATTTTTTTTGATCGTCTGCGGTTGTTTTGACCGAACGCACAATGTCACTTGCTGGGTTTGAATAAAATATTTTTGCACTTGATGCGCGCGCTTTGCTTCTCCATTATTATGATAAGCTATCTCGTATTTTTTCATCTCTATTATTATTACGTAATCACATGATTTTTCTCGAGCAACTTGGAAAAAAAAAGCACTTATAATTTTTTTCAAAGACCACTAATTACACGAGCCCGTAGGGCTCGTGCAATTTTGTTAGTCTTTGAAAAAATTTACTCGTCCCTATTTAGTCCAAATTGCACTCGAAATCATGTGATTACCTATACAAATCATTTAACAGTTCGGTTCAATGTTCTTTATAGTGAAAAAGCTTCATCCGAAAAATATCAGTCTATAATTAAATAGTTTCATATATTATCTCACATTTTCAAAAATTAAAAAAAATAAATAGATAAATAATCCTCTTCAATCAAACTTCATAATAACTTATTTATCCTTATCATGCATCATAAACTATCACATGAACCGCTTTATATCCCGACCATAATTCTAGTGTTTTTGTGTATAGTTTACAGAATGCTGCCTTTTGCGTGCAGTTGGTTGACATTAAGGATGAAAGTTAGTGCCACACAAAGTTCTACATTTCCATTTGATTAACTCTGTTTTGTTATCTCACAATTTGATTGCCCTAATATTGGATCTTGTTCAGTACCAATAATTTATTTATCTACAGGACGTTTAAAAAAAGCAAAGAATCGGCGATAAAATTATAAAACTCGCAAAAAAAGGCTTTTTTCATCTTTAATTTTCTCTGAAATGATCGTTGTTTAAAAAAAAAGTCTCGAAGTTAATTTAACTTTTTTGATTTTGATTTCCATTCCCACTAGCGGTGAAAAAGGTACAATCTTGTGCAAAAAAATTGTGTCTTTGTAAATAATCAAACTACTGACAGCCAATAGGACTGCAAGGACCAACAGTATTCTCAAAAAAGAAGTAAAAAAGAAGGAATATCAGTTTTCAGATTACCTTTATGTCAACTGGCGTGCTGACAGAATAAAACCTTTCTTGCCCATTGATGTCATTGCTATGATTCAGAGTCCTGGAGATGTTGAAATTTAGATTTGGATAAGAGACTGCGATGTACAAATTTTGGGTATCCACTTCTTCCACCATCACAATGCAA